CAGGACTGTCAGGAACCCAGAAGACTCTGTAATCTCCATCCTTTTCCTCCTCCTGCTGACCCACTCTGAAATTATTATTTTTTATTTCATAAATAAAGGTGCAAAATGTCCCCTGGGAGAGGATCCAAGGGATTACTACAAAGTAGAATGGTGGCATTTTGAAAAACCTGATGGTGCCTTGTCAGTGCCTCAGCCAAAGCTAAATTTGTAGCAGCTTTTACTAACCTCTCGTAAATTCCGTGGTCAATGAAGTTGCTAGAAGAAGTCTGCCCAGTTGGGGTCAACAGCAGACAGAGAAGCCTGGAGAAGGGTTCTAGGTAGCAGAACACCTAAGAAAGGAGGCCCAAAATGAAGCAAGGAGCACCCAGTGTTTGTTGATTGACCCCAGGGTCGATTGTGGGAATGAACCTGAAAGAAAGTGACAGGTGCTAGGTAGGCAGTAGACTATCTTAAGGTCTCTTAATTAGCAAATAAAAATTGGCCACCTTTATTGGTTCTCTAATTGTAGCTTTGAACCCTTGTTATGGTTTAGATAGGAGGCGTCTCTCAAAAGCTAATGTGTAAGACAATGCAAGAAAATTTAGAGATGAAGTGATTGGGTTATGAAAACATTAATGTAATCAGTGCATTAATCCATTTGGATGGATTAACTGGGTGGTAACTATAGACAGGTGGGGTGTGGTTGGAGAAGGTAGGTTACTGAGGGTGTGCCTTTGGGATATATATTTTGTTCCTAATAAGCTGAGCTTAATCTCTCTCTGCTTCCTGATGGCCATGTTCTGAGATACTTTCCTTCACCAACTCTTTTGCCGTGAAGTCCTGCATCATCTTTAGCTGAGAGCAATGAAGCTGGTCGGAGACCTCTGAAACCGTGAGCCCCAAATGAACTTTTCCTCCTCTAAAACTTTTCCTTGTCAGGTCTCTTGGGTCACAGTGAAGAAAAAGTTGACTAAAACACTGCTGGACTCCATATGTCTAGAAGATAGTGCTGGGGTAATATGTAATCTAGTCTTTAAACTTTCATTTCTCCAACCAACATTCATGAGTAGTAGCTGAGTACATGAGGAGCAGGAAGCCTCCCTTTCCCTAAGGCAAAGGGCTCCTGTTCTTTGAGTCAATGGTGTATCAGTTTAGTGAGGGGCAGGCTACAAGGATTAGAGAGGGATCACAGGGTCTCCTACTTTTTAAAATTCAGGCGGTGGTTCATTCATTATAAAGTATTGGAGCTCTTGAAGAAATAAAATTCATTACAACAAACACCTTATAGTTGTAAACTGTATACTTCAGAACCTTAAAAGACAAACTAGATCTGGGACCAGAGGTGAGATAAAATATCCCAGACACTACGTAAAAAAAGTCAGCACACCCTTCAAAAAGATATTTATTAAGCAAATATTTGGTTATGGACACTCAAAGGAAGAAAAACTGAAGTTGATTTCATAAGAAGATACACGAGAGCTACATTAAACTCTTCTTTAACGTTCACAAAAACCTTAAAAAGAAAGAAAGGCAAAGCATAACATTTCTGACACGTTATGGCAATACAAGTCAACCAAGAGAGTACTATGTATTAAAATCTATGCAGATCTAGACTACTCTATATATTAGTGAAACAGGAAGTTATACTGTTTGGCTCTATTTACACTAGGAAATGTTTTCTAGACTTCTAAATCTATGTTGCTAAGATTTTTTTGTTTGTTTGTTTGTTTGAGCCAGGGATATGTTTTGGATTTGAGATATTAAAACACTACAAAATCTTTCAAACCGTTCTTTCCTGATACATTCTCTGTGGCTAGAGAGAAAAGAATTCTTGTGGAAAGAACATTTGGAAACATTTGGGCCCAACTTTCTGAGCTTTTACATGAGGCATTTTTGAAGGTGTTGATTATTTTGCCAGTTTTAAGGTTAGTTGACAGACCTTTGAGCAAAGATATATACAGTGTTTCAACATTAAATATTAATTAAAATTCTAGTAAATAGCCAAACAATTAGGAAGCAAGTAAACAGGGCAGCTTTTTTTTTTCTTTTTTTTTTTCTTTAGGATGATGATAATTCTACCAATCAAAAGGGTTGAGCGCCAGCATCCTGCTAGAGTAAATGGAAAATTCAATAACAAGCCTCATCCACACTTTCCTCCTCATCTGCTTCAAATTTAAGATTATTGCTAGGGATTAACATGACTAAATTCATTCATGTGAATATAATAGTGATGTGACCAGAAAGCAGTGAGCTGTTGCTTTCTGTTGATTTTTGACTTGCAGTTTATTTTCTGGATAAAAAAAAAAAATTTGTTCACAATCACCTATACATCCTGGTTAATACTGTAATTTAAATTTGCAAAAAATCATAGGAGATTCATTAGCTGATGAACCATGTTAGGCATAGTTTTATCTTATAATGACATTATTTACATTAGATACAAGGTAGCTCTATTCTATTCACTTATACATTCTGATGAAAAACATTTTACATATGTAAATATGTATGTCACATTTTAAATATGTACACACCATTTTTTAAAAGACAAGAAGAGTGTCTTCAGGCACCAGTCTTGCAAAATATCTCACAGTTTTTGAAAATATTAAATTCAAGTATGAGGATAAATGAAAAAAAATAACCGAAACTGTTAATGTTGCACTAAAAATTGTATGTTATGATGATTTCAGGTTTATAATAAAAGCATTTGCATGAAAAAAACCTGGTATTAGAAGTCAAATCCCACCACAACAATCTTCATTACAATAGAAAGTTCACCATAGGGCTGAGGGGGGAACTCAGTGACAGAGTAATTGTATTTAATTCCTAGCAACACACACACACACACACACACACACACACACACACACACACACACACACGACTCTAAGATGGTTTTCAAGCTGTGACCAAGCAGTAGAAGCATTTTTTAAAATTCCATTACCACAAAACTTCCAAAGTTAAATAACTCGTGGCAATGAATGTTTGCTTTAAAGAAATCATTAGAGAGTTCTTGCTCACATAACAGTCATTCCCTAAAATGAAAATGATCCAACGTTTGATTTTGAGACAGTGCAAGATGTGGTGATAGAAACCTCATTGCTATTTAACCAGGAATGTGGAAACATGGTCAGATTTTAAAAAGAAGCCAATTTCTTTGTTTTCTCTACATTAAAAAGAATGCTCTGAGTTTGATCATCACTAGCAAACACATTAATTGTGTCTACAAATTTTACTGGTTCACATGGGAGCAGTCCATTTTGAATTTATTTTGAGCCAAATATGCAACACAGTGAAATAAAGAGCCCCTTGAAACATGGGGAGCCATATAATACAGAATAACTAGAGATGTTTACTTTGTAATTTGAATATACTTATCAGTTACCTACTGTAACAAATTCTCAAATGATTGTGAGCTCACAAGAGATAAATGAAATCCTTGATTTGTTAATTGTAGAGGTTTAGAACATAGCAGGCATATACTAAATGTTTGTGTAACCTTTAGAAACAATTTTCCTCAGGATAATTTCCTCTTTTCCCTGAGTCTTAAATAATATGTGAAATACAATAATAGAAAGCTACAATCAATAAAAGCAATGGTTGGAAAAGACAAATTAAAGATTCTTTTCTCTAAATGTATCGGCTGAGTTCTGAGTTCCCAGATGGACCAGTGAAGGACAGTGGTGATGGTGGGGGGGGAGTGAGTAGGTGAAGAAACTAATTAGAAGTGGCTTTGTTTTTCTCCAAGGCAATCAACTATGAGATAGAGGATAAGCTTTGAAGTTGTTGTTTATTTCGTCTTTGGGATTTACTGAGCACTGCTTACAATAATAATGCTAAATGTCCTAATAATATCTCATGTACCTAATGCATCAGTGTACTTTTTAAAAATATCAATGAGAGTCTAAGAAATAACTGAAAGATTAATTTGCTGAAGTTCTATATTTAGACCAAATTTATGGTCCAGTTTTATTGTCCAAATAGATTTCAGAAATATTTCTCTAGAGAAATAATTCTAAAAATAGTCAATCAATTATTTCAGCAAGGTAATCTTTTCTTTGGGTGGGTGGAAAACAATCATGGCAGTCATTTCCCTAAATGACTTAATCAGTGCTGTAAGTTAAACCAATAATCTTAGGGAGAAGCTATTTATATGGTAGTATTGCACAGGATTATGAAGAAATCATTTTTGGAATAACACATTTAAAATGCAAAGGGTTGACTATATAGGGAGCAATGTTAATATAAATGGAAATTTTATCTTTATAACTGATATGTATCAGATTTAGTTGAAGGTGTTGACTCATTCATAATTATGATTAAGAGGGAAACTAAAAATTCCAATAAACATATCTATCAGATAAACAGTGGGATGTAAAAAGCTGAATTAATTTGGAGACAGGACATGGCATAGATATTTTGAAATAAATGACTTCATGATTTTAAAAAGTTTTGAATATCAACATGCAGTAACATTTAGGGATTCTGAATCTTTCACATGAGCCTGCCTACTCCATTTCAAAAATTTCTATTCATTATGTTTCCTCTAAGCTTGCCAGTATAAGTTATAATTATTTTCTTATTCACAAACCAAAGCCTTATGATTGGCTTAAGTATTTTTGTTAAGCCAAGTAAGATGATTTATGATTACCTGTACTTTTTGTAAAATTTTATTTCCTGAATATTAACACATACAATTACTTTAAAAATGTATCTTATACACTCTTAACATCTCTTTCTCTTCAAAACATGAAGAATGGGACATCGAAGTATTTTTTTAGGATTTGTCACTCTAAAATTCTGCTATGCTAATTCACTGTATAAATATTCAGGGAAGGGGTAAACTTTAAAAAAACCTTTTATGTAAGATTAATGATAATTTTTATTTAAAATAAATACACTAGAGCTGCCCTATTTAGTATAGTCACCTATGGTGAACATATTCAGCTTTTGAATACTTGAAATGTGCCTAGTACAACTGAAAAACTGAATCTTTAATTTTAACTCACCTTTAAAAAAACTTGTTTTTTTTTAGCTATGGGAAAATTTTGAAGAGTATTTACATAATTTAAGCTGTTGAATCTACTTTTTCATCTATTACATTTGATGAAATCTAAATGCATCCACTGTTACTGATGAAAACTTCATAGCCCGATCAAGGTGAGTGGTAAGTGTGAAAACGTGCTGGACTTCAAAGACTTACTGTGACAAATAGAATATAAATTTCTCATGAATCATTGTATAATGATTACTTAGGTGACCTGTATTACTTTTCTGTTGGACAGCACTGCTCTAGAGCTTTAGGAAAATTGCTAGTTTTTTAAAGTCATGTTTTAAAATTTTAATGTCATTCTATTTAGCCAAATAATTATGACCTTCGTGAGAAAGCGAATCCGATTTAATGTGGAGTGCCCTAATGGCCCACTCGGCACCTCTTCCTTTCTCTGAATTGCAAAGCACCAGCTGCAGAAAGCAAATCATAGAGGGAGTGGAGAGATGCAGGAATAGCGTGTGAGAACACTGATGAGTGTACAATCAAACCAAACTGCTCATACCCTACAAATTCTCTTTTCTTTCCCCTAACGGTTTCCAGATCCAAGTGTCCCTAATTCCCAAACCGACCTCCAGCTTTCCTCCCAAGTTCCGCTGTGCGATGGCTTCCAGTGTAGAATAATAAGCGATGACTGCTCAGCAATGTGTCTGTCATGTATTAATACTAGATTTTGTCCAGGCCCGGGAACTTTCATCCTTCAGAGTGGAGAGCTTTCTCTGGGAGAAGGAACTAAATCCCAGAAGTTTCAACACCGCTACCCGGTACTTCTTGGACATGATGTTGTACAGAATGGGATTGATGGCCGCGCTGAGGTAGAAGAGGACGAAGGACACGAGGTTGCAGTACTGGCTGATCTGAGCAATATCCAGGGAGCCCGGCTCAAAGGATTTGGAAAATAAATACCTCCCCACGTGGAAGGGCAGCCAGCAGAGGATGAAAGCAAACACCACTACAGCTGAAAGGAAATGGGAGAGAGATGGTCACTTCCAGAAATGTTACTGCAAATGACATTCTATTTTTAAAACTTTGTTGGTTTTGAGTATGTATAAGGTGGACACTGAGAAACACTCTGTACTGCTCTTGACATGGAGGAACGCTGTGCTCTTTTTTCCCCCTCTTCCATTTTAACAAAGACTGATTGACTGAACCAACAGTAGATACCTACTGAACTTCCCAGTCACTTCTAGTTGAGCTCTTTGATTTGGTGATTGAGTTGACATATTGACTCAGCTGAAGCCAATTTTTCACAGTAATCCATCATTTTAAATGTGTTAGCTAGGACACAAACATATATCAGGTAAGGTACTCAACCGTATCTGTGAATCAGAGTTTCCTGGGTGCTTCAAAAATATAGATTCCTTGGATATAATATGGACTTGCAGTATTAAAATCTGTAGGAAGGAGAGCAGGGTACTTACCTCCTTTCCTCTCTCCTTCCCTCTCTTCTCCTCTCCACCCCTCTCCCTAGATGAGGATTTACAATCTTGCCAATGCTGGTCTTGGCCTTGAATCCCTGAGTTCAAGTGATTTTCCCACCTCAGCCTCCTAAGTGGCTGGGACTGAGGGGGGAATGGGCCATCGCATTGTCCAGCTTCCTTATTTTATTTATTTTTTTAAGTTTTACAGAGGATTGACTCACTCTTTCTTTCTTTCTTTCTTTCTCTCTCTCTTTCTTTCTTTCTTTCTTTCTTTTTTTTTTTTTTTTTTGCAGTACTGGGGATTGAAAACCCAGGAGTGCTTTACCACTGAGCTACATCTTCAGCCCTTTTTACAGGGTCTTGCTAAATTGCCCAGGCTCACCTCAAACTTGGAATCCTTCTGTCTTTGGAAACAAGATTAAAAACCACTGAGATGTCTATGTCACCTACAATAGACCTAAGTAAGGTAGAAAAGGCCTTTAAACTAATCAACATTATCATCCATCCAAAACTTCATTTTGCTCATTTAAGATTTTTTCCAAGACTTCTAAACTTTTAGAGTAAGTTTTTAAAATTCAGAAAGCAAAGGAAAAAGTAATGTTTTAATCCTTGCATTACTTTAGTGATCCCCTTCAATTGTCAAATAAGAAGAAAATTAATATTGATGTTGAGACACCAAGGAGGCAACTAATGGCTTAAAAAAAACTGCAGGAAATTACTAAACTTATTCTCAAAACTAAGTTACATAGTAACAACTGAACTACAACTGAACTACCATAGCAGAAATGAGAATGTCACAGGTGAGAGCTTGGAGTCCCCTGGAGGACATAAGCAGGTTTACAATCCATGATTCACATAGGGAGAATCACTGGTCTAGAAATAAAATCTGACATTCCCTAAATAAACTCTCATAACTTTAATATGCAGGATCTTGGATTTATAAAATTGCAAATATGAAACCATCCTGGAATAACTTCTTTGAAGCATTAAATATGCCAATGGGTATGAAATGTTAATTAAAACGCCAACTAACATAATATCAGATGCTGATTTTGAGATAGCAAGCAGAATTAATATTTTGCTTGGATATGGACACGTTTCCATTTGCTACTTCACTTGTATCAAACACACATCTTTAAAGAGGTTGAATTCATGCAATAAACATTCAGCACACTAGTTGTGACACTGCCTCCAGATGTTCCTGGAGGGCCATTTAAGGGTAGTAAGTCCTGTTAGCTTCCATGGTCTCCTTTCTGCTGTTGGAGCTCTGCTTACTCTAGTTTATTCTACCTTACCCTAGTTTATGCCACCTAGAAAGACAGATAATCATGATAACAAACATAAGGAGACCTAAGCACTGATTGTCACTGACTTCCTTACAAAGCCATATAAATAGCAGCAGGATTAACAGAGTTGATGTGATTTTCCCATGAAAATGCAGGGCAGAAAACAAATCACAAAATTGAAAAAAAAAGAATGAATCATCTCTAACAGAATCATCCAAAGGGATCATGGTTTTGGTTAAATTTGCTACTAAATGAATACTTTCTAGCTTTAATGCTTGCTTTCCTTGATGTAACTTTGATATTCACAAATTCTATTTGTTTTTTTATTTTTTATTTGTTTTAATAGTTACACATGACAATACAATGACCTTGACATATCATACATTTGAATCAGATGGAATATAATTTCTGATTTTTCTGAGTGTACAGGTTGCAGAATCATATTGGTCATGCAGTCACCTATATACACATAGTAATAATAATGTCTAGTAGAATGACACACATTCTATTTGAAGCAGGAAGCTTAACCTCACCTTTTGTGAAATATCTCATTTTTGAAACGTTTCTGGGCTGAGATAAAATAGATTTTAGGGAATGACAAAGGTGGGTCATTTTTCCCATGAAGAAGAGAAAGAAGATACAAGAAGAAAGGACAAAGAGAGAGAGACTAAAAGAGATGTCAAGACTACAATTACCTAGAGGGTCAGGGGCAGGAGGAGAAGGGGGAAAAGGTTGGAAGGAGGGGAATGGGGAGGGGGGAGTTAGGAAAGGGTGGGACACACAGAGAAACAGACCCAGAGGAATGGGAGAGACTCGGGGAGAAATAAATAGAAACTGGAAACCAGGGAGAAGTGGGAAGGCACTCAGGGAGAGGACAGAGCCCGGGAGAGGAAGCCCGAGGGTGCGCTGATACTCACCCAGCATTTTCACAGTTTGCTTGTGGTTCTTATCTCTGAGCGAGGCGCCCACCGCTGCATCTCCGCGTCTCCTCCGCCACAGCTTCCTTCCGATGAGACTGTAGAGTACAGTTAGGCAAAAGACAGGCAGAAAGAAGAAGACGCTGGACACCCACACCATGACTGTGAGCAGTCCAGAGCGCACCGCGAACTCAGTGGCTCGGCACTCGTTGGTATCCCGAGGGTCGGTGCCATTCTCGTGCTCCACCCCGACTAATACAAAGATGGGTCCGGCGCTGCAGAAGGCCACGGCCCAGATGACCAAGATGACCAGCTTTACCCGGCCCTTGGTGATCACCACCTTGGCGCGCAGAGGGAAGCAGATAGCGAAGTAGCGCTCGACGCTCAGCGCTGTGATGGTGAGCACCGTGGCATAGGTGCAGCTCTCGCTGACGAACTGGAAGAGTTTGCAGAGCAGGTCGCCAAAGTTCCAGGGCCGGTATTGCCAGAGGCGGACGAGGTCGAGGGGCATGCAGAGGAAGATGAGCAGGTCGGAGAAGGCCATGCTGGACAGGTAGAGGTTGGTAGTAGTGCGCAGTTCCCGAAAGCGCGATACCACCAGCATGGTGAGCAGGTTGCCCGCGATGCCCACCACGAAGAGCGCCACACAGGTAGCTGTGACGCCCGCCAGCAGCGGCGCGGGGAAGAGCGGCAGTAGCTCGTCGACCAGGGAGTCGTTAGTGGGGAGAGCATCCCAGTCCAGGTCCGCCAGCGTGAGGTTGGGCTCCGGTTCCCGGCTTGGCGTCGCGTTCCACATGCTGCAGGCTCAGCTTCAATGGCACCGGGACGCAACTGTGCTGGGAGCCTGGATCAAGTTGGCCCCTTAGGCGCGGGAGAGTGAGAAGAAGCAGCAGCCGTGGGCGCGTAGGGAAGATGCTTGGAGAGGAAAGACCGGGGCGGAAAAAGCAGAAGTCCAGTGGAAAGGTGAGATAGGGAAAGGAGAGGAGAGAGGGAGAGTGTGACCCGCTGCTCTCTCTAGCACCTCCCCTTTCCTCCACCCTCTTCCCCAAAGTCCCTTTCTCCCAACCTAGCCTCCTACCAAAGATCGTACACATACCTATCACCGGGGCAGCCTCGTTTGGCATTCACCGTCTCGCTCTAGCTGCTTCTGGCACTTCCCGAAGCGTCCAAGCACGGGAGTTCCGCAGAGTCGGGGCTGTGCAAAGCTGGAGCTTGAGTGGCTCTCTCCTGAGCCTCGGGCGCTAGCGCGGCACGCAAGGACAGGTCATTCCAGGAGTGGGGGTGGGGGTGGGGACGTGGCGATGGAGGAGGGGATCATGTCTTTCAGTAGCTGGGACCTGAGTTCTTGCTCAACCAGAGTAGAGTTGGTTGAGAACCTGGTGGGGAGAAAAAGCAAGCGTGTCCACCTCATTTGAGAAAGGGGTAGGAAGCAAAAAGAAGGACCTCGTGGTTGTATTAGAACTGGAGGAGATAGGAGCGCACCTGGGAAGAGCTTCACCATCTTGTTCACGAGGTGGAAAAAGTTGAGAGATGTGACTGACTCCTTGTTCAGGATTTGGAAGACCTGATTGGATCACCCATTAGGTTTGGACTTCTGAAGAGGGTAGGATCCAGATGAATGAATAATCCTGTCCTGGATCCCAGTCTTTGTACACGCCTCCAACTTGGCGTTGGTAGGGGGCATGCAGTATAAGAGATTAGCTTTGCCTGATGTAAACTAAGGAGAGAAAGATGTAACTAATAGACAGTAAGAGGAAGAGAAGAGACTGTAAGACTAGTACAGGTCGAGCGTGCACAGATATCAGCCATTTAGTAGCTGTGTTCCCTTGGGACAGGTCTTTAACCTTCTGAGCTTAGGTTTTGTTTGTTTAATTGCGAAAATATTGTAAAAACCACTGGGAGGGGATTTCAAGGACACATTAGGCACTCAATAAATAAATACGAATTGCGTTTCTGTTATTGTGGTTGCTATTGAGAAGCAGAAGCTGTATTCAGTGGGAATGAGTCGGAAGTCTCCCCGACTCCAGAGGTGACTTCCCTATACACACCCTGTGCATCTTTGCATAGATCTGGGAATGGACACCTGAAGGTGTGAGACTGCAGGGGGTCCCAGAACTGGAGCCAGACAGGCCTGTTCCTGCCTTCAGCCCCGGGGAAAGTGTTCAGCACCGCGGTCAGCGGTCAGTGCCTTTCTCCGCAGCACCCCCAGGGAGATACTGCCCGGCCGCCCGCACTTTCTTTAAAGCCTCTCTCCGGCTCCAAGGAATGGGGGAAGAGTCTCCTCTCCCAGGCACACTTGAGTATTAAGCCACTGCCTTAACCAAACCCATCAGTGTTCATCGGGCCCTGATTTTAATAAAAATCCATTACATGCATATGAGAGTTTTCAGGTACTGGAGTGTGCTCACACATGCCTTTGACAGATGGTTTGCAAGATCTTTATTATTTCAAGTCGTTGACGCTTGAAAACTTACACTGGATTGTGCACATGTGCATGAAAGATCCCACACTATGAGGAACTGCAAGAGAGAAATTTGATTCATACCATCTACTGGTGAATAGACTACATGTAGTAGCTTGTTTGCACTGCTGTGTTACACACTTTGGACAAAATTGACTTTTAAAAAACGTCTAACTAGTATTTAAAAAAATGTTACAACCAAGTCAAACCTTCAGTTACTTACAGGATTTTTTTTTAGTTAATAATTTGCCTCACTACTCCCAGCTCTACATTATCAGGTTTATGTGTGGGGACACAGAGAGAACTTGACAAATCAAAATATTATAAAGTTATTGTTAAAGAATGAGAATCAGGAAAAGACTGTAGGACATACTTCTAGTCAGTGCTAAAGCTATGGCTGATAAGTGGGAAGAGAAAGATGAAAAATATTCAAAAAACTACTGTAATAAAATATTGTTCATGATGCAGATGAACTCAACCATTTTCTAAAATGTGGATGAATCTGTATTGTATGATCAAGAAGAAGCAAAGGCACTATTGAAACTGATGTTTATTTATAACACAAAATTTTATTGTAAAATATATAAAACTGTCTTTAATTATGTGCTAAGCATAGAGAATCACAAAATCAATAAATTCCAGATAATGCTGCATCTATACACTTATAATCCAGGGAGAGAATGTAGTTATACAAGTAGCTTTAGTTCAGTTTTGTAGGTACTTTTGAAGAAACACATTATTTTGGCCCCTGCAGCAATATGGTGCTTTCTGTAGACAGAGATAGGATATATGTTTTTTTTTCTTTAAAGAAAAAGATTATGGTGGTGATGTCATAGATGATAATACAATAGATAAATCAAAAACAGTCTAAGCAAAACATCAAAATTAACATCACCACAGATATACCCAAGGAAGAGCAGTGTCATTTATATAGCCTTCCAGCTAGAAATGCAAAACATCAAACTCAAAATGAAGAATAGTTTATTTAAATAAATAAATCCCCAAATAGTCAGTATTATATAAGATGGGGTAAAATGGAGAAAATGTTCTAAAGAAGAAATACAAATAGCCAACAAACATATGAAAAAGTTTTCAATATCTTTAGCAATTAGGCAAATGCAAATCAAATCGTTTCACCCTAATTAGAACAGCAGTCATCAAAAATTTCAATAATAGCAAATGCTAGAAAGGATGAGGGGAAAGAACACATTTACACTGTTGTTGGTATAGTAAATTAGTACAAGCACTATGGAAATCAATATGAAGCCTCCTCACAAGTCTAGCATGGAACCACCATATGACCCATCTATACCACTCTTCAGTATTTATCCTGAGGAATTGAGGTCAGCGTGCTACAGTGATATATGCATACCCATGTTTATAGCCGCACAGTAAACAATAGCCAAACGTTGGAACCAGCCTAGGCATCTGTCAATGGACCAATGAATAAAGAAAGGGTGGTATGTATATACAAGGGAGTTTTATATAGCCATAAACAAGAATAAAATTATGTCATTTATGGGAAAATGGATGGAAACTGAGAACAGTAAGTGAAGCAAAATAAGCCAAACTCAAAAAGTTAAGGATCTTGTGTTTTCTCTCATATATGGAAGTTAGAAATGAAAAAGGAAAAAAAGTTGGGGGAATCTCATTAGAAAAGAAGAAAAACCAGGAGAATAGAGGAAGGGGATTAGGGGAGGAGAAGAGAAAAGGGGAGATACCAGGGAATAAAAATTACCAAATTATATTGTTATATGTGTGCACGTATAAACAAGTAACAATGAATTCCACTATTATGTGTAATCATAATATACTAATCAAAAAGGAAAATAAATACCAATAACACTCTTCACAGAATTAGAAAAAATGATCCTAGAATTCATGTGGAATCACAAGAGACCCAGAATAACCAAAGCAATCCTGAGCAAAAAACAAAACCAAGTTGTAGGTATCACAATGCCCTACTTCAAGATATACTCGACCAAATCAACATGGTACTAGCATGAATACCTACCTACAAATAGACCAATGGAACATAGTAATAAACCCGGATTTTAAACTAATGTTTGACAAAGGTGTCAAGAACATACATCTATTGAAGAAAGGACAGTCTCTTCAATAAATGGTGCTGGGAAAAATAGATAGTTATATAGAAGAATAAACTAGGTCCCAACTTTCCTCATACACAAAAATCAACTCAAATTAGGTCAAAGACCTAAATGTCAGAACTGAAACTATTAAATGACTACAAGAAAACACAGAGGAAATACTTCACGACATCATCCATATAGGCAAAGCTTCTTTGAATAGAATATCAAATGCACAGGCAACAAGATAAGGACAGACACGTGGAATTAAATCAAACTAAGAAGGTTCTGAGCAGCAAAGGAGACAACAGAATGAAGAGACAGTCACAAAAGGGGAGAAAATATTTGCCAACTAGTCAAGGAATTAATATATCCAGAATACATGAGGAACTTCAAAAACTTCACACCACCCCCCACAGATAATTCAGTCTGATATGGGCTATAAATCTAAAGAGACATTTGTCCAAAGAAAACATGCAAATGGGTGACAAGTGTACCACAGCAAGACAATTCTTAAGTGAAATTAGCCAAAATAGAAGGACAAATATCACACATTTTCACTCACTTGGGGGAAAATTGTTATTCTCATAGAAGAACAGAGTGGAATAGTGGTCACTAGAACTGGGAAGGTCAGGGTTGGGAGATGGGATGGAAAGAGATTAGATAAAGGAACCAAACACATGAGGAATTGGTTCTGGTTTTCTGTAACATAGTCGGATAATGATTGATTGCAACATTCTAAGATATATTTCCAAATTAATAAGAAAAGGAGAAAAATTCCCAATAGAAATGATTAATGTTCAAGGAGATGGAAGTGTTATTTGATTTGATCGTTGCACATTGCACTTTATATTGAGTGAGATTAAACATCGTACATACTTAAGGGCCATTTGCCTTTTTAAACATGAACTGCTGGGCTATTACTTTTGCTCATTTTTCTGCTTTTGAAGGTTGATTTTTGGAGAACATTTTGTGTTGTGAAGATATCCTTTTGGGATAATATAAATTGAAAATATTTTAATATGCTACTCATTTGTCTTTTCAATTTTGCCTTGGGGTTTTTCTTTTCAATTTTGTTTATGAGATTTTTCCCCCTTTTTTGACATGCAAAAGATTTAAATTTATGTGTCATCAAAATGACATTCTTTCTTGACATTGCTTCTGGATTTTGAATCATATTTATAAAAGCTTTTCCCATTGCCAAATAATAAAGACATTTATCTCTGTTTTGCTCTATTATTTTGAGGTTCTTTTAACATTTATATTCTGAATCCATTTGCAATTGATCTTGGTACATGAAATGATGTATGGATCCAGTTTAATTTTTTTCCAACCAGTTATTATTTATTTAAAAATTTATTTTTTACTAATAATTCAAGGTATTTATTTCATTTTATTTCAAATTTCTATATGTATTTTCAGAGCCCAGGATCAACAGTTATACTCTGCAGGCTTGATTTGTACTGTTCATGAGTCATTTCTTCTATTAAACTGTAATTGTATTTTTATTTTATTCTTAAAATATTTACTTGTTGATCTTATTTCCTGTATTAATTAGGACTAGAATTGAATATATACATCGGTAAATCTAAAGTGGAGACTAAAATAAGATAGAAGTTTATAGATTTATTTTTCATCTAAAAGAAATCAGACTCTGGGATATCCAGGGTTGATATGAGGAACCCATGCTCACTTTGCCTGGCTGCTCCCCCATCCTCTGTGAAAGAATTCCAAGAGCAAGGTTGCTGTGTGGCTCAAGATTGATGCTGGGGCTCATCATCCAAACGAATTCTATGCAAGAAGCTAGTGAGGAGGGAAAGAAGATTTTCTTAAGTCCAATTCAAAACCCTCGTGTCTATTACATTGACCTACTCCATCTTCAAGAGAGATTAGGAAAGGAAATTTTATAAAGGACAGAAGATACACGATCATTCCCAGGGTTCTAAACTTGCATAAACAAGTACAGTCTTTGCCATGTTTCTTCAGGCAGACTGCAAGTACTTTGAAAACAAAGGTATTTTTTTCTTCTTTACATGACCCCTAAGACCTGGTGACTGCACTAATGTCTTTGCAGATATAGCACTTAAAACAACATATTCACCAATTTGATTAAATTAGCATTTGATTTTAAAATCACAT